GCTATCAGTCTGGTTAGATTTAGTAACAGGAGGAGTTTTAATAAGTTTCAGGTGCTGTGGTGTTAATGAAATTAACAGCAAGGGGACTAGAGGGGCAACAACCCCTGAAACAGGAATGGATTTACAGGTGAAGGCCACTGACATTTTTTGGCTAGTGTCAGTGTCACTGCTGGTAGCATGAGGCGACACCTACAGATGTTGCACAGGCAATCCAGCTCCTCCAGGATGGCACATCAATACGTGCTACTGCCAGAAGGTTTGTCTCCCAACACTGTCTCAAGAGCATGGAGATTTCAGGAGAGAGGCTGGAGATCTGTCAGAATACTAAAAAAGACCTTCAGTGGCCCTCTGGTGTGAATGTCTCTGACAAAACCATCCAGGACCAAACTTTATCTACTGGAACTGGCAGGTCTACCACTGGGACCCTGTGCTTTTCACATATTAGGTTCTCCCTGTGAACACGTGACAGGCCTGAAAAGGTCTGGAGAAGCCATGGAGAATGTTATGCTGCTTATAACATTTTGTTATTATTACAGGCCTATTACAGGCTAGAGAATGGCACACTGACTGCCAGGTATCAGGATGAGGTCCTTGGACTTACTGACAGAGCATACAGTGCTGCATCATGATCCACAACAGTGCCCGGCCTCTTGTGTCAAGAGTGCAACTTTTCCTGGATGTTGATGAATACCATTAGTCCCTGGCCCACACCTGCCTGAACTAAATCCATTTGAACACCTCTGGGAAATTATGTTTTCATTGTTGCCAGGCATGCATACAAACATGTGGGGGGCATACAAACCAGGCAAAATGGCCTAGCCTGCTGAATCTTTTTTTCACTTTGAATTCAGCACTCTGCAGGCCGACAAATTTAATATCTATCAAATGACGTGGTATTTTTTCGTTCCTAACACATCACCCAGTCCATATCAATATAAATATCCAGCATGATTTTTTTCCCAGTTGAGATCTAAAGTGTTTTCAAACTGTTCCCTGAATTTTGCTCAATTTATGTGTTTTCTGCTGCAAATATTGTGCGATTCCTTTACCACTCTCTGCTTGGGGCTACTTGGTAATAAAATATGAGTGTATTTAGCTCTGCTCGAGTTATCAGTCTCATTAAATCTGTTCAGTAAGCAGAGGAAATTATACTGTTTATCACTCGGCTTTTAATCATGGACAATCTTATGATCTCTATTCATCATTGGAGAAATCACAGCGCTCTTTCACAGACCACCAGTTTTGTGTGGTCCTCTTTGTAAATTTCAAAGGTTCCCAGAAGATTATTATAACATCATCAGTGCAAAGATGTGCAAATGCATTGGAATAATTATGCTAAATGAGACTAACAGTTCTGTGGCCCTTTTTTGCTACAGAAAGCTGAGAACTGCTCGTGCTCTTGTCAAGCCCTGCAGTACTTTCTGCTGCATCTGCATTTTTCAAAGTCGGCTTCAGAATTAAAGTCATGCACTGTAGTAATGATGACAAGCCTTTTTAGTGTCATGGGCACTAATCATGCACACTCCCCCGATAGCCAACAGACCAGGCGGTCCTTTGGGATAGCAGTAATCAGTAATCAGGTCTTCACGGTTGCCCGTTGGGTGTGTGCCTTGGGTTGTAGAGTCACATGCATGCACTTTGTAGCAGTGTAAAGTGATATCAGAGCCCCTTCTATTAGATGTGATAATGAGGCCACTGTGTTCTGTAACCGATGATGTTTGGAAGAGAGCCTGCATCTTAGCTGGATGGATATTTCCTGGCTTATCGGGGCCGCACGTGTTCACGCCGACCTGGTTACACAGAAACTCACGCACATCCACACACGCGTCTTTAGGGCACACATGCAGAGACGTAAATGACGCTCCGCAGAGTTTGGGTCGCCGTCAAGTCCTGTGATCCAGATAAAAGCAATTTT